ATGAGGTTGGCATTTTCTCTCTGTAGGAAAACATCCTGGGACAGGTGCTTTTGAGCTTTTAATTGCTCTGCTAATGCTCCTTGTGTACTGTAACTTAACAGAAGACTGGAGGTTTTCAGTGCTGTCAGTCTGTCTCCTTCTGGCACTAACATTTGCCTTTTACAAAGAGCTAAAAAACAGTGAAGGGGGGAAATATGAAAGAGGCATATTTCTGCATAACCCAATTATTTTCATTTTTAATACAAAGTTGGGCAAGACCGTATGTCCACTAAGGTCCTTGAAGCTGTCAGTGACCCTGCCTTCTGTAACCAGCTTCCAGCCAGCCATAGAGGCAAAGAGAACTTGTCAGTATACTAAGCCATGTGATGAGGTTTCAAGTCCTACTTGACTCCCAATTTACATTCCAAAATTATAGTCTTAAAAATGCCTTTTCAGTTGCATTTCCCTCATAGCTATCCTTCCTTCTGCCTAAATCACATCTGCCTAATAGAGCTGATACTCAGTGGTCACAGCAAGTAGAGGTCCACCCCAGTCCTAACACAACACCCAGTGGCTTGTGCTCATGCTGTGAGGATTCAAAATAGATCATGTCCCTGCCACCTCTCAGCAGTGGACTTGGTCTTGCAGGCTTGGTAGGATCACACAGAAAGGCTGGATGCTGAGTTACAGACCATGTAAGAATAAAGCACTGACAAGTGCTCTGCTTTTGTTTTTTCTGGGATTCTAAATGAATTTAAATAGAAGAAATCCAATTACATTCAAATCAGGTCTCTTGCACTCCTCATGCCCACGCCAAGATCAATATGAAAATAAAAAGAGGTAAGGTGGGCTGAGTTTGGCTTGAAATGAGAAATTCTCTTTTTTTTTTTTTTTGTTTGTTTGTTTGTTTTGTAGGGTTTATTTTTAAACTAGTGGGAATCAAGAAGAGCAAAGAAAGAAAAGGATGAAAATAAAGACAAGAAGGAATAAATAGTTCAGATGACATGACTGAAGAATGAATGAAGAAAGGAGGAAAAAAAACAAATTTGCAAGACAGTGTGTTTAGAAGTCAACACTTTTGACTTTAGTTAAATCTAAGGGATTAAATTTTTGTAAGTGACAAGCACAGTCTGTGGAGGCACACTGAATTCAATGAGGAATGGCTTCAGCCTGCCCTTTCAGAAGGAAATGCAAGATCTCACCTAGAAAGGACCGATTTCATTTTGTTTTCTTACAATGTTTGGTGGCTTCTGGGGGAGACTATACCAGGATACATTTACGAAGCGGGCAAGTGCACTCCAGGGCATGGTCAGAAGTACTGGCTGCCCAAGCCATGAGGGCCCTGAGCGTCAGCAATAAAGAAACATGGAGGCACAAAAAAATTGCTTGAAATAATGCTTTCTCGAAAGCTGTTCAATAGAGCTCACAGCCTGAACTGTATTTTAGCAGGACATCACACTAGGTAATTAACAGGGGTCCCTTGTAGACAATGTTTCTAGCATACAATATTTTTATTTCCCAAATACTTAATCAGCCTAAACCAAAAAGCTGGGATAAGACCAAGGGGATCAAGATGGACAGACATTTGGGGCAGGCTGTGAAATATTTCCCTATTGTCTTGTGCTTCGTGAACACAACATGGCTTGGGCAGGTTGGTCTGCACTTCTGCATCAATCTTAGGAGCTGTGGCCTTGAGGATATAATGTGCATTCTAATGGCAGAACTTCTAATTAAAAGCTAATGAATGTTTAAAATGCTAATGAATGTTTAAATAATTTGTAACATACATATAGCAAGTATGAATTGTATACAAGCAAACACATAACCACAGGCAAGAACACATACATACAAAATTATCTACCCACTCTGCAGGCATAGCGATGAGGCATAAGTAAATGTATGTTTGAACTACATGTGCAATCATTCATTTGCATGTGCAGCTACTCAGTGTCTATTCAAAGCTCTGCACACAACTCTGCTTGCTAAACCTTTGCCAGAATGTAGATCACAATATATCTTACTGATTACAAATAAAAAGAACCAAGAAAATCATGCCACCTGTGAGTCATTCTTTTCATTTCTGTTCTCACAAGTGTCAATAAACTTTTATGAACCTTTTATGAAGGTATGAAGCTTTGAACTCAGCTGAGATGCATGAGATCAATTTTCAGAAAAGCTGTGTGAATACTGCAGCTAATAAATGTGTGTACATTCACAAGGTTTTCAAGAAAATTTCAAACTTTTCTCACTAAAATACTTCAAGCACATAGGTGTTGACTGCTTGCCCTTTTATAAAAGCCCCTTACCAGTGCACCTACGTCTGGCCATTACCATAGATGATGTTGTCAGCAGCTTGAAGCTATGACCTTTGGTGACAGAGTCCAGTAATGACTATATTTCATTAACAAAAAGCAGTAAAATACGTAAATGAAAATAAGACAATTTTTTTTGTCACCAACACTCTGTTCATTTTCCTTCAAGGGCAGATTTGATTAGAAAATTTATCTTCAATTCTTAGACAATTCTTAGAAATTCAGTTTTGTTAATTCCCTGTATCTCTTCTGATCTTCCATTACTGCAGGGGAGCTGTGTGGATAGAGATATGAGGCTAGTTTTGCCAGGCAGTAGCAGGTTACTGAGACCTAGCATCAGTTTGAGAGTTACACTTAAGAAATAAACCACTACTGACTGATAGTTAAAGAAATGATTGATTATACCTCTTTAATACAATTGAAGGTCACACTTTTCATGGAGCTCAGCAACCACAAAGAGGTCCAATTTTCTAACAGAAATTGATGTCATTAACTGTGTTTTCCAGGGCATTAAACACCCACTTTTTCTTTTCTTGTGTTGACCTTCTAAAAACCTGGCCCAAAATGCACATGTCGATTCTTGAGGTGACTTCAAATAAACCAGGGTTCAAAATAAAACCTCACTTGAGAACAGTTTCCTAGCCTGGTCTTTGTATAGGACTTACATATATTATGCTTGCTTATAATTGTGATTGTTGTTAATAGTATGGACCACGCCATACAAAGGGCTCAGAGTCTTAAAAAGTCTTGCTAGATAACAACAACAATATATATACATATATAGGTTTTTGTTTGTTTGTTTGTTTTTATTTTTTAAACTTGCCTTCAGGAATGGTTATCAGCTCACAGATAGAAGAAGAAAAGAAAGTCCCAAATATGTGGGACAACTCAGAGCCCTTCAGACTGGTGAGAATGCTTCTGTGTAATTCAGTGAAACTCATTATGTTTTCCCTGACCTCATCTCCCTCAGTCATTGGGCAGATTTAAGAAGTGATAACAGCTGTACAGAAAAAAATTAAACGTTTTTGTGTGCAGTCTGAGTACAGAACGTGACATACTGGATCAAAGATACACTTTATCAAGCATGCCCTTGAGATAGCCCCAGGACATGAATCCAAGAAAGGAAAACCCTAGAGTAGATAAAGGCGGGACTACAGTATAATCTGCTTCAATGAAGAGTGAATTCTAAATCTCAGGAGTCAGCATATCCTTTAAAACCTGAAACATGAGTTTTGATATCTATCTCTTCGCTCTTTTTCTCTCTCTCTTTTTTTTTTTTTTTTTTTTTTGGTGTGTGTGTGTAATGTTTTCTCCATTTAAGACATTTACCTTGTTCCTACTGGAATGAACAAACATTACAAATGTTCACAAAGTGAAGAACAGGTTTATATATATATACAGTGCAATAGGGATTTCTGTAAAGAAAGGTATCACTGTTACAGTAGCATGCTATGGCAACCATTTTGTTTTTATTGCACACAGTATTAAAATCTCAGTTCTTCAAAAATGTTGGCATTTTTTCTGGACATAACGTGTTGCTAAATTGTTTCTGTCACTTTTCAAGGACTATTTAATTCCTGGTAATTTTTTTTTATTGACACCTATGAGGCGTACACACATGTAATACTTAATGAGTTAGAAATGATATGAAGACTAGCCATCCTGATGAAGTTATTTGGTGGGATAAACAATTCTAGGATTCATAGTATAGGATAGTGAATAGGAGATCAGTTACATACACTGCCCAGAAGAAGCCAGACTGTTCATTTCCCACAGTCAGATCTAAATATATTAACAATCTCTTGCCTGGTACAGCACAGAAATTAATCTCCAGTACTGGCAAGGTCTGATTTGCAAAACTGCTGTGCATGCTCTCCAGAGAGATTCAGACAGGGAGAAAAAGCAGGCTGGATAGTATGCTTTAGGGACCTTTCTGTCACAGTGTGGCCAGTCTCAGCCTCAAAACACTTGCCATTATGAAAAAGTGTCACTACTGAGCAGGACCAGACAGAACAGATGTTCTGCAATTTTTTGTGGGGACATCCTCCTAGAAAGAGACTTTGTGAAACAGAGGGTCATCTTATTTACCTGTGTGAACTACCTGTTCTGCACTGGGAGTTGGTGATTAAAGTCTTTCTGTTTGGGACTATTGGCTGTGAAAACCACAATCCACGTGTTTAGCTTCTCAGGAGGTCTATTTGATATTTAGAGTAAAATATTTCCATAGCCTATCCTCCCCATTTTTTTTTTTTTTGGTTTTACATCTCCCTTCACTAAAATATATCTGCCTATAGCTATAACTACCTGGACATATTATATTATATAATACAGACACATACATAATTTTATCACAAAATTGATAATTTTAGTCCTATCTAAGGAGCAGCATAGTAATGTTTTATCAGATGTCTTAAATCTAAGTCAGCCTCTGAGCCAGCACTGATCTTATGGCTGCTTTTAGATGACAAGTCACAGTTCCGCATAAGGTCAAGCCTAGACACATATATTCTAATGTTATTAATGTTTAGTGATATCACAGACAACCTAGACCTCAGCCTTCAGAAACAAAAAGGAGGTGCTGTATAGCAGTATTTCTGTACAGTGAGTGTTTTGTAAACACTTCATTACAAGCACAATAGCAATTAATGAGATTACTCCAAACATTCTTACAAGCAGTCATAAAGCTTTTGTCATTTTTTTTTTCCTTACCAAGTTGCTCTGCTAAATGTTTTCCTCTCTCAGTGAAGATTACCCGCTCATCCTCCATGTCACATTTGTTACCCACCAAAATAACCTGGGCATTATCCCAAGAGTATGTTTTGATTTGAGTGGACCTGAAAAGAAAGACAAGAGAGAAAAAGATAAGTCAAAGCAAAGCAAATTACCCTTAAATCAATTTCATAGAGAACTGTAACCAGGAAAACAAACAAAATACTGATTTTGACATCTAAGGTAACATGATTCTGTTTAATTCTGAATCTCAAATAAACGAAGGATTATCTTTCAGGAATTATAGCTTTAACTTTTGATGTTAAAACAAGTCAGTCTTTCAGTATTTTCTCCTGTCATCAACATTCTTCCTATATTTTTAGAAAGAAGCTGTGTCACTTCATCCCACGCAATTAAAAGAAGTATTTTCGCATTTTAATGCAAACCTTATCATCTAAAAGCAGAGCCTTGAAACAAAATCAGCAGCTTATTCATATCTTATCTTTCAGTTTTTAAAATTAAGATCTAAATTTATCAGCAAAACTTCAAGGACCTTCTGTCTTCCTTCTGCTGTTTCTCTCCAGCATGTCCCACAGCAGCTTTTTGATTTTCCAGCAGGACAGCAGCATTTCTGTTGTACATTAATCCATAATCAGGGGCTGAGATTGAAGTTTAACTTACCTTCCATTAAATTATCCAAGCTCCAATCTTGACTACAGCTGAACAGAGGTATCCTAGGCATTGAAACCCTATGATGACCTTAAGTGCTGAAGGTGCAGCTAAAGGGCAGCATAGGAGCATGCCTGTAGCACGTCTCAGCTGCTCTGCTGATACTCAAACCTGCTCTGTAGGAAGGAAAGATTCATTCCAAGACTCCAGGCTCAGTTGGGAGTGATGCTGCTGGCATCACATAATACTTGCCCCTGAACACAGCACAGGGAGCAATAAGATTGCTCTAAGTGCTTACACTTTGTCTTGGAGTTGGCTACACCTGGCTTTACATTCTGTCTCAAGTTCTTGGTAGGGTGTTAATATTCTTCTCCCCCTGTAGGATCAAAGGAGAAAGAAATGAAGAGCATCTCTATCTCCTTGGACAACACAATGTGCTTAGGAAAACTGCATAAAAAATCTGCCATCTAAACATTTTGGAAGATGGAATTTGTACATGCTGGTTTGCTGCAGTCCCCTTCTCATAATGCAACTTTTTCCTCTGTAAAGCGAGACCCTGTCATGGCAGAATGATTCATACACAAGAAAGGACCACAATTTGCTCCAACACTCACTTACAGTTAAAGAGAGATATTGATCATATCTTCCCATCTGTCTGTGCTTATCACGAGTCAAAAGGCATGGACGTAGGCAAAAGTTGCCTCAGGCTGTCTTTGTACTGATGCCCAACATCGATGGCCTGCTGGCATGAATTGAAGCAGCGTGCTGCAACTGCCTCCAGCCATGTGCGATGGGCCTGTTGTGCAGGGAAGAGCAGCTTGAAATGGAAGGGTCACACTAACTTCAGTGTTGTTCTACTTCACCAGAATGACCAGAAAAGGATGAAGCAAACCCTGCTCCATTTCTTTTTGCTGCACATTGTTCCCTTGGGTCTGCCCAGAGCTTTCATTAAAAAAAAGGCACAACATGGTATTTTAACTCTGTTAAAAAATTGTAATAATTTGAGTAAGACACCTTAAGCTTCTGTGACAAAACAGAGGTCAGACTTCCATTTACACTTTTGCTATGGATAGAATTGCTCAGAAGAAAGGGCACCATGCGTTCATTTTGATAAAAATGCACTTATGAAACCATGCTGAGCTCTTCAGAAATTTGTGGTTAAGGAAAAGAGGATTTTTATTATATTTTAACTAGAATTACATTTGTCACCATAGCAACTTTGCAGGAAATAGAAGTTGTTTCAAAAGCAAAATATACAGTAAAAGTATTAAATTTCACAGAAAGAATCAATTGCATATTATGTAATTTTTTCATATTTTCTCTCTCTCTTCTTCTGAGAAGGGAGAGTGAGAGAGCAGCTTAGTGGCCATCACTGAGAAAACCACCACATCTGCAAATGTGAAATATCATAAACTGATGAATGAAGAATTATGTCCTGGAGAATATTTTCACATGAATGCAAAGAGAATTCATTTAACCTTGTTTTGCAGACTTCCATTCTACTTAACCTTCTCCAGAATATAAAACACCTCATTTTACTAAAGCCAGCTATGATTTTTAATTCTGTGAATTATGGACCTGTGCATTCAAATGCTTCTCATTACCAAGGCCATTTATTTTATTCTCAGACATATCTATCTGGTTTTCTAACATCTCATCTAGTTGCGGGGTTTTTTTTTAAGCAACAGGAAAAGAGATCTTGTCTTTGATAATGATTCCAAGGGCTCATGTTGTGCAAAGGACTCCGTAGTGCAAAGATACATCTGACTGCAAAAATCAGACAAATATATCCCCACTCAATCCCACATCAGCAGGAGCATGGATTCAAAGAGTATAATAGGCTTATCACTGTTACGTTTTCTTTTCGACATACATTCCCACTAATGGCTTCTGTGGATTTTTTTGCCCACAATTCTCCACAAAAGCCAACACAGAGGTCATTTACAAAAGAGGCTCTGCTGTTCCTTACGTATATATCCTTTCAAATGACTGAGGCTTCTGATTAATCCAAAACACAAAACATTGTCCTTGTAAAGAACTCTAGCCTCAGGAAGATTTAAGATATGAAAAGGCAAAGCTGGTGTTTGCAGCTAGCTGAATACAAAAAATTCTTGCTCAGTCTCACTGCCCTGGTGCATGTCAACAGTAATTTACCCTGTAAATCTTTCGCATTCTAGTTGTATGGTATGCAGACAATCTGCAATATACCTGAATTTTTATAAAATATAGACACCAGAGGGACAGATTAATGCAAGAATTCAATGATCCATTAATTTCAGTGATCAACATAAGACTTTTTCTCCTTGTACTATTCTGCCATAATCCTTATCAAAATAAGTACTTGCTGAATGCTAAGTAAAGCAAAGCTTTGTTTTCATCCTAAAATAGCACTGTATTTTGCTTTAATTGTTCAAAATAAAGTTACATCAATAAATCTCAAAAGGTATCTTGGACTACCATGACAGAAGATTACCAAAGATAAGATGGACGCTTTTTGCTTTGTTTGATGGACTGAAATCCTGTCTGAAGAAAATGCTCAAAAGACAGTTTTTCAATCACACTTTGTTTAAAACAAAGCCTGAAGAAAAGGAAGTGTTAAACAGTGCTCATTGCTTATATGAAAATCCTATTTCTGCTCCTAGGAAATGCCTTGTAATTCTCACTAGTTCAGAAAGAAAAAAAGGTATTTTTCTTCCAGAAATATTCTCAATATTGCTTATTTGATGAATAGTGTTCAACAGGATTTTGTATTGCTGCCACTTCTGTCATTTACTGGAGAGAATAAAAGCAGTGTTGCCTAGGCAAAGCCATTTATCTACTGTTACCTCATTTTTAATGAGCATACAGGTTTCAAAGTGAGTATTACAATTCTTAAAATGGTGACACAATTATAAAGACTCAAGACACTATTGTCATGCACAACCTCCTCCAAGTCTGGCAAAAAAGCCCATCCTGACTGTCATTTATAGCTATTACCAAGCATAGTGAAACAGTCTGTAAAAGATCTAAATTGCAGCACGCTGTATGACAGGTATGAGCTCAAAGGCACATGCCTATTCTCAGGTTAGACTCTGCTTGAGCTCTGCAAAATAATCAGTTCAATGAAGAACTCGGTCCTAGTAGGGATACTGAAAACAACAACAAAAGAACAAACGTTTCAGAAAAATAAAGGAGGAGACTAACCTTTGAGAATCTTGGACCTCTGAAAATGCAAGAACTTCAAATGATTGTCCGGGCACCTGTGGTGTGTGTGTGTGTGCAGGGAGCATGCTGAGTGTATTTACACAGCGTGATGGAGTGTGGTTCACAAACACCTCAGTCAGATGTGTGGCTGCAGTGCTGCAAGGCAAGGTCACTAGCACAGAGCATCACCACTGTGAAGTTACTGTTGTACAGGCTCATTTGTTAGTGTTAAGTTATGTGATAAAAACTCATCTACATATTCACGAAGTAGCACAAGGAAGCAATGGAAGACTGAAGAGCCCAAAGAATATACTGGCCCTGTCTACTCACAGGGCTATCCCAGGAGCCATTGGCCCGTCAGACATGTACCTACACAAGCACAGAGGAGCACAGACAGGCAGGAACCCAAACTAAGGACTCAGAAGAAGAGAAACTAGCTCCTGGCCTCTCTCAGAAGTACCTCAGCCCTACTATCCTGGTCTGAAACTAATCCCTATGGGCCGATGCTTTTGGACTCAGTAGGAATGCTGGACATGTGATAGGATGTGGAGGAAGAGGTGCAGAGAATGCACTGGAGAAGTTCGAGCAAGGCCAACTGGCAAATAGGTTAGGTAGTCTGGGAGTAAGGAGTATCTCTAAGGGGAATTTCACTGTGGATAGCCAGAAAAGTCCTGGCCATCTATGTGCCTGTCTCTGTAGAAATGGTTTGTACCTGTTAAATGGGGCTGGGGCATCACAGGTTCCTCCAGGTGCCAGCAGCTGGGAAGAGCATGCCCAGGAGTAGCTGTCAGGCAGTTTGTGACTGTTCTGAGCTGACAGGGATCCACATCATGCACATGCATATATATATGTATACATTTACATATACATATACATATCGTTGCTAGTGAACCTCCATCCTCCTCTTCCATGGGAGTGCTCTGCATGTTGTCTATGACCTGCGTTACCAGCCATGTACGAAGGCTGCTCTGAAATTTGATGAAGATGGCCCTTGACATCAGACACAGTTGGTGATACAGCAATAGCAGGTGAACCTTCCTGCTAATATTCCAGTACATTTTGTTGCTGTGTGACAGATGGCAGCAGAGGGACAGTCTGATGGAACAGTGTTGAACATGGAGGTGTTCATGAAGCAAAGGTGTGTCACTGAATTCCTCCATGCAGAAAAAACAGCACCCACTGACATTTCGATGCTTGCTTAATGTTTCTGGAGACCAAACAGTGGATGTGAGCACAATGAGGTGGTGGGCGGTGCGTTTCAGCAGTGGTGACA